GTTGCGAGTCAACCTTCAAGGTGGATTAACCTTCTGCTCTGCTCGGACTTGATCTTCAGCAATCCCTCAGCCTCACGCAGGGGACCGTTATTGCCATTCAAGCCTCTCTGATCTGTGGAGTTTGCAGAGTTCGCTGGTTGAACCATCTCGGATTGATTGGTTATCGGGATGGCTTAAATTGTCCGTTCCCACAGACGACGCCAAATGTTTATGCAAGGATTTGCACAACGTCAAACTTCAGCCGAGCTCAAACTCGGTCCTCGCTCCGATTGAGAACTCACTGTGAAGACCAGCACAAGAGGACAAAATCTCCGACGCTCAAGTCAGTAAGTATCTCGGACTCAATATTAAGTTCGAGAAGAAATTCGATACCTGATGGTGAAATGAGGCCCTTTATTTATAGGTTTAGGCTCCGATAGGGGTTATGACAGGCGGTAACATTGGTCGAGTTAAGATCAGAACTGTCGGGTTTGAGCATATCGAACCCAGACGTTTTTACTCGTATTGATATAACTTAATGGTGGAGACAATGGCGAAGTCATCCATCTCGGAGGGTTCCGAGGTAGAGCTGCATGAAACTTCATTTGGGGGCATCTCCCCTCGCAACGAATCGCTGTCCTTCGCGTGGCAATCTGGTTTCTACCCCCAAACAGATATATGCATAAATTTTATGTACAATCTGTTTTTAGGTTTATGAATTTTAGGTCTTAAGTGCAATCGAGTAAATTAAAAACAAAAGATATTTCCTAACAAAACAAAGCATCACACGAGAAGAGTAAACAAAACATTAGCATAGATGGTTCTGCTGGCTTTTCGAAATAACATTGACACAATAGATAAGGCTTCTGCTAACATTTTTGACAACGTCGATAGAGAGGGGTTTCTCCCAACATTTTTTTTTATTAATACATCAACAACGGGCTTTCTTGACGAACCACGACCATAGGCCAACGATGTTGCTGGCAAAGTCGTTTTGTCGAGAAAATGTTTTGCCGACGTTTTGTTGCATCGGAAAAAACCTAATTTCTAGTAGTGTAAATTCATGTCTTATGTTGGTAAGTTTTTGTCATTGATATATTTCTTCAACACAAGTTCAAATAAATGTAAATCCGATCGTGTTATTGAGAAATTGCTAACGACACATGGTTTAATTGAAAATTGTACACACAAGTAATAGATTTAAATAATATATATATAGGAGGGAAATATTCATTATAGTGACATGAAAACCATGAACATTATTTATTAAAAAAAAAAAAAAACCAATGCAAAGATTATCAATAACATATATATATCTTCACCATATAACTCCACGAAAAGGTTGTACTTCCACAAAACGATGTCCTTTCTATAAATGGACAACCAAATAAACAACCTCGTATTCCCCCTTCCCTCTCTCTCCTTTCCAATCATCGTGCATCCACAAGAACAAACCAAGAACAAGGGAAAAAAACACAAATTCAAAAAAAAAAAAAGAAAAGAAAAGAAAAAAAAGAAACAATTGCATGGAGAACATGAAGGAGAACGAAGACTCTACAAGATGGATTCTGGATCAGGTGAGAGTGGATGTGATGGTGGATGTGCCTATCAACGACGACATGCAACCCATAACTTACAATAATAACGATAATAATAATTTTGGGAGTCCGTTAATGGAGAATACGGCGGTGCCACGGGCAGCGGTGAGGTTGGGGCGGAGGAAATCGAAGGCCGAAAGAGGGCTTAAGAGCCTCCGTTTCCTGGATCGCCCCATCACCGGTACCGAAGCCGATGCCTGGAGGCCTATCCAGAATCGCTTCAACCAATTTGCTATTAATGGAAGGCTTTCGAGAGACAAATTTGGTCAATGCATTGGTATATATACACATTTTATTATGTTCTTCTCTTTTTATCTCTAATTTGAATTTGTATTTATTTAGTTTCGCAGAAGTTTTTATTAGATACGATAAGCGTTTCTATTTAGTTTCTAATGTTTTTTATGGATCCCATAAGTTCTACCGGTAAAGTATGAGTCTTTGGTTGTATCTCTTTAGTTTCGTTAAAAGTCTTAAATTGTGGCTATTTAGAACTCTATGGTGCAGGTATTTAATCTCTTTAAAGGCTTTTAATAAATTTTCTATGTCTAATTAGGCTGTGATTATGCTAATTGTTAATATGCCAAATGAAATCCAGAGTTAATGCCTATTAATTTTTATATCTTAGTAGCTCCAAAACTCTCTCTTTCAGGCTTAACAAATCTAGTTTAGTCATCTCAACATTTACAAACGTGAACTTATCTAAATTACAAATTAGCCTACCAGTAAATTCTTAAATATGTCAGCTTGTCACATAATAGTTGTTAAGCTAGTAGATTTAACTATAGAGACTAATTATAAGTCACAATATATAAAGTGAAAGTTCGGAGACTTTTAGAGTTTCTTTTAAATGCATGCATGTTAGATAAGTACACGAAATTTGTAATTTAACCTAAATTTTTTAACAAATAGGAATGGGAGGAGATTCAAAGGACTTTGCAGGTGAATTGTTCGATGCTTTGGTGAGGAGAAGGAGACTAAGTGCAGCAAATGGGATTACAATGGAAGAATTACGAGGCTTTTGGGAAGACATAACTAACCAAGATATGGATTTTCGCCTACAAATTTTCTTCGAAATGTAAGCAAAATTATATATATATATACATATGGAAAAAACCATTGCTTTTAATTCCTTTATTTTACTTCTTTAATTTGTTGGCATAAGTCTTTGAATCATTAAATTTCATAGTCCTCCAGGTGTGACAAAAATGGCGATGGAAAGCTTTCTGAGGGAGAAGTAAAGGAGGTTAGGACAAATTAACAAACTTCTCTAGCTTGTTCATTTATTGCTTAGATTATAAATTTAATCCTTGACTTAAAAAAAATTCTCATATTATGTTCTTTTATGTAATTTTTTCATTTAACACCACTAGCGGAATGTTGACGTAATATATATGTTTATTAGGGGAAAAGAGTCCAATACAGGCAATTGTAGTACATACTCCTTATAACTGAAATAAACGAACGGTGTATCTCCAACATAATATATTTGTCGACTAAATGGTTGAATGTATCAAGAGGAGTATGTAGGCAAAAGAAACTCTTTAATTCATTAGTATCCAACAGTTAGCTAGAGCTCGATATGTTAGCATTTTGTTGATAAAATTAAAACTAGGAACTAAGCATGTATGTAACTGAAATTTTTTTTAAAGTTTAAGGATAAAATAAACCTTATTTGAAGTTTTGGGGACTGAATTTATAATTTAACCTAATTTATTGCTAATTCCTATGTTGAAAAAGGTGATAGTGTTGAGTGCATCTGCAAACAAACTAGGAAACCTTAAAGGCCAAGCAGGTTACTATGCATCTATGATCATGGAAGAGCTTGATCCTGACCATCTTGGATATATTGAGGTAATATGAATGGTCCTTCTAAAAAACTATGGTAACGTTTTTTGTTTTTTGTTTTGTTGAGAAACTTGAGCATTTGACTACCATCTATGTTTCTTATTTCTCATTTTTTTTAGAAACATTCCCAAGTTATAAAGAAATTTCAAAAACAAATAAAACATATTTTTTTGTTTCTTGTTTCTCGTTTCCATTTCCAATAAAATCAAATTTCCTTCTTTTCTCAATAAAAAAAATGAAGAACAAGAAATATTTACCAAATGAAATTATGTTTTTTCTTTATTAGAAATAAAGAAACAAGGTATGGGAACGTTAGCAGACAGGCCTTACAATTCCTACATTTGTTTGTATTTTCTTCATATTATCATCTTTCTCTTCAATTCAAAAAGCAGCTATCACAACTTGAAACTCTATTAAGGGAAGTCATGGGCTCTGAAGACAATAACAGCAAGCCCATCACTAAGAAGTCATGCACTCTAACAAGAGCCATGATTCCCCGAAAATACCGAACTCCGGTGAGCCGTGTCATGTCGAGGATAGCCGAGCTCGTCCACGAGAATTGGAAGAGGATATGGGTCTTTGTAGCATGGCTAGCGATAAATGTGGCGCTATTCGTTTACAAATATGACGAGTACATGCACACAAAGGCATTCAAAATCATGGGGTACTGCCTTTGTGTAGCAAAGGGTGCAGCTGAGACCCTAAAGTTCAACATGGCCCTTATTCTACTGCCAGTTTGTAGAGGGACTCTCACTAGACTTAGGTCCACATTTCTGAGCAACCTTTTCCCTTTTGATGACAATATAAACTTCCACAAGATAATTTCAATGGGAATCACTGTTGGGACTTTTCTTCATGTGTTTATGCACATAAGTTGTGATTTTCCAAGGCTTATTTCATGCCCCAAAGAGAAGTTTATGGCACTTGTTGGGCCTAATTTCCACTACCATCAGCCTAGTTATGTAGATTTGGTGGCAAGTATTACTGGGGTTTCTGGAATTTTGATGCTCATTATAATGGGTTTTGCATATGTTTTGGCCTCACACAAATTCAGAAGGAATGTCATCAAGTTGCCTGCCCCTTTGCACCATTTGGCTGGCTTCAATGCCTTTTGGTATTCTCACCATTTGCTTGTTTTTGCCTATGTTCTCTTGATCATACATGGCTACTTCCTATTCTTGACCTCCGAATGGCACTTGAAAACGGTATGTTTCGCTTCTCGAATTCTAAGTTTTAGTTTGAGCTTGTTTGATGACGTTCTTGTTGTTTTGTTTGGTTTTGTTTTTCATGAAAGAAGAATGTTAGATTATAAGGTTTTGTCTGAACTTTCAATGCTGTATGTAATAGGTTTTAACTTTAAAAGTAATTAATATGTCTCTAACTATTTGACTTTTTTAAAATTCGAAGACTTGATAGACACAAACTAAACATATATATTTATTAGACACAAAATTAAAAGGTTAGATATGTTTATGAATCTATTAGATATTTTTTTAAGTTAAGAGCAACTTATTAGATACAAAATTAAAAATTTATAAATTTCTTAAACACTTTGTTAAGTTTAGAGAGACCTATTAGATATAATATTGAATGTTAAGAGACAAAACTTGTGGTTTAACCTTAGAGAAACTACGTTTGACCCGTTGCTTTTTGTTTTTGTTTTTTTGTTATTCTTTTCATTTCTATTGAAGGAAAAAGATACAATTAAGAACCCTTTCTTGTTTCTTGTTCTCTTAAATTTCGAATTAAGAAAAAATTAAAGTTTTACATGGAAATTAACTTTTTAAATAAAATAATCAAAATTATTGTGACATATTTATGATGTGTTTTATAAGTAAAGAAATGATGAAATAATATTTATACTTTATGTCTTTTTTGAATGAAACAAGAACACGGACAGGAAATCGTTTCCAAAATTTGTATACGTTGTTTAAGAACATTTCTTGAAAATGAGAAATAAGGAATGATTGTCGAACACCTATGTCTCAAAAATTAGAAACGGAGAAATAAAAAACCAGAGGCAAGAATGTTACCAAAATCACCTCTCTCAGTTTGTGGTCTTTCAATTTTGCACTTGAATTCAGGTTAGGAACTCATTCTTCCCAAACTCCACAATGCTTTGTTGAGTCTAATAGAGACAGATCTTTAATTTGATGTGATTTGCCTCTCAAAATATATTAATTTAATATCATGTTTGATATTCATTTTGTTTTCAATTGACTGTTTTGAAATTTTAGTTTATAAACTCTACTTTTTCACCTACTTTTCAAAAATGTTTTCAAAATTTAAACCAAAATTTTAAAACTAAAAAAAAAGGTAGTTCTTGTATTTATTTTTAAATTAGAATTCAAACGCATATTTGTATGAATAATGAAAAACATACCAAAGAAATTGAGAGAAAGTAGGCATAACTTTTAAAAACATAAAATAAAAAAGGAAATCACTGTCAAAGGGAACTAAACTATTTAAACCCGTATGTGATTATGATTTTAATTTTTGCAGACATGGATGTATGCAGCATTCCCAATGACTCTCTATGCTAGCGAGAGGCTTCTTGCATCAGTCAACGAACTCAAGCATAGCGTTGATATCATTAAGGTTAGATTTTTATATAATTATTTGTTGAAGCATTTACCATAATAGCAGATTTGACTTAAATAATATTACATTAGTTGATGGTAAAATATTTCATTAAAACAGCACAAATAGCATAAAACTATATATGTATCAATGATATTTGTCAGTAATGTACTTAATCTTAGATATATTATTAGTGATATACTGATCGATTAAAAAATGGTATATATGTGATATAACTCTGATATAAAAGAAAATTATATAACTTTAACCAATATTAGTAATATACTTTATCAATGATACGAAAATAAAATATCAGTGATATACTTTATATTCGTATATTAGTTATCATATATTTAGCACATAAATGATATATCAATGGTATAAAAACTAGAGAAAAAAACTATCAGTGTGTGCAAATTATTTTTTTCCAGATATGATCATCCATTATAATTTCCTTATTTGTTACTTTTTTGTATTTAAAAATCCATGCGAAAATGAAGCTTATTATTTGTGTTTATCGGATATTTTATTGTTTCAGGCAGTGATATATGCAGGGAATGTGCTAGCCATATATATGACCAAACCTCAAGTCTTCAGATATAAAAGTGGAATGTATTTTTTCATCAAGTGTCCAGATATATCAAGTTTTGAATGGTAATAACTACGTTTGTTTTTTAAAAGTTCTGGTTGTGTCTATTTAGTCCCTGATATTAATTAATTCCATCAGTTTAATGCTTGAGTGGCATGGTGACTAATTTTTTTGAGAATTACATGGCGGGACGACTTCGGATAGATTTAGGTTTTTGATGGTACAAGCATAGACACAAGTTCAACCGTGCCTATGTTAGAATATATGTAGGGACTACAAATTTTTTAAAGCTTTTTAATGTACCGGGATTAAATAGACACAATCCTAAAAGTTGAATGGCGAAACCTAAAATTTTACTCGATAAGGTTATGAGTTTGAGGTGTCCGTTTGTTTGTAGGCATCCCTTTACCATCACTTCTGCACCAGGAGATGACTACTTAAGTTGTCATATCAGAACACTAGGAGATTGGACTGCAGAGCTTCACAACAGGTTTGCAAAGGTGATTTTCTCATAAAAACTGTGTACAACATAAGATCATAAGAATCATGGCTATAGGAGCTAAACTATCCAATTATACATAATTATGTAGTTTGTTTTAGTTTTGTCTTTAACGTTTTATCCAATTAGTTAATTCGTTTTCAAAACCCTTCATAAGAAGTTTCTGTTAGAATGATTGATGGAAATTAAAAGATTGGAATTAAGATTGGAAATTTTGAATGTTAGGGGCAAAACTAAAATCATACATTAGGAATATTTTGTATAATTTAGCTGGTTTCAATTTTACATGATGTTTTATAGTTTCAATGTAATGAAATATTCTTATGGAAGTTTTTTTTAAAAAAAAAAAAACCAAATTAAAATATTTGACTAAGATTGAAAACTTTTAAATGTTAAAAAAATTGAAACTATATTTAACATTTTGTATTGTTGATGCCAACTTCTGGATTAGTGTCACGTAAGTGCAACAGGAGCGTCATGTACGTCTTCGTCTCCTAGCTCAAGATACAGCTGTGCACGGACATCCAGCACCGATGTAGTGCTCTGTCGAAAGTCGCGTCAGTGGGTTGTGGGACCACCGACATTCTCCTTCCCTATGTGCACTGCCAAATGGAGCCTGACGTCGTACTCGACAATCCTCTAGAGTATATTGTGATTTGGGAATAAGGTGCCAGTCCCTTGGTCGTCGGTTGTCTCTTGTACGGGAAGCCCAGGTGCACTTGGCCCCTCTAATAGGTGCGCTCAAGTTTTGGGCTCGGTGCACTCGGGTTTAGCTGTAGTGTACTCGCTTCTTGTTAGCCTGGTCTACGTGGCTCGATTGGAGCTTGGACACATGTTATCTTGGGTGGTGGGGAAGCCACAAATTTTTAGGAACAAAGGTGTCACGCATACTATCGGTTTTATCAGGTCGTGTGCTCGCACCTCGCAATCCGAGTGGACACGCGTCATTTCTAGATTTCGAAAGGCGTCCTTTTAACTGTCACAAATTTAGTGCTACGACAGTTGCAAGTGTTTCATATCCCTTTGTTAGTCATTTCTTCGTATGGTTCCAGGTGCGCCGGTTGGACTTCCAATGGTCACGACCTTCAGGGATAGCTTTTGCATGTCAATTGATCTCTTTCCACATCTCTATTGAAGATGGGTGAGGGGCTTGCACTTGTCCATCACCATTCTCCATCTCCAAATCTCATCACATCATTTTTTTAGGAAATGTCTTCCGAAAGTGCAAGCCACTCCTTCGGCGATTTTATTCTTGCTCTAGTAAAGGATGGATGGAAGAAGACCTGATACCCTCTCCCTATTCCCCTACTAACCGTTATGTCGTTGGTTTGAAAAAACATCGAGTGGAAGTGATTCAGGATGCACTACATGAGATGAAGAGAAAATTTTGGGCATGAAACGTAAAGTGATTTCAAGGGCCCACTCTAGGAGATCGCATTGTAGTGGTCCAGACTGCACCACCAATGGTAGAAGGAGTCACGTGATCAGAACCTCGAGCTGATGGTAGAGAATCGCAACCTGACGACTTGGTATCCAAGTTTGAGGTTATTCTTTGGGAGCGAAGGAAGAAGGATTGGGCTCCCTTTCTCCCTTTGCAGGAGGTGCTCCAACATTCGTCACCTCAAGGTGCATAACTAGTATCTACAAGAGTGTGTGACAGAGCTATTGTAGTTCGTGGACACTCATGCTCCTAGTGGCAGCACTCCTAACCACTGAGTTGGTATTTCTCTAAAAAAAAACATCAAGGATGGGGAAGGAATAATGGCAAGGCAAAAACATTTAAGTCACAATAATGACAATCATTTTCATAAGGTCGGACAAAAACACTCATGTAGGTAGAGGTAACCATGGGTTGCAACACTCAAAAGGAAACCAAGCCGCATTCAAATCGCACATTCAACGATAGGTTAAAATAAAAGGAAAGGAGAGTCGTGTCAAAAAGATGTAAGAAGGTGACATTTCATTAAGTTATCTGTAAAAAATAAAATTGCAAGGTCTATCAAGGCATACATCAACTAGTTAAGACACAGATCCCCGACCAATAGGCCATAAAAAAAGAAGGGAAAAAAAGGAAAAGGAGGAAAAGAATGTTGGGTCCGTCTAGTTGGAAGATTGTCTACAAACAAAGTCCAAGGAAGGCTTCCTGGGAACTCTCAGGGTCTCCGTTGGTCACAATCATTTCGGACGTCTTTTCAACTACTAAATCTACTGTTGCTTGCCCCTTCATGGTAGTTCTTGGTCGATACTCTATGTTGTACTTGTTGAGTTCGATTGCGCATTTCATCACCTTCTCCAATGCCTCAGGCTTCTAAAGTACCTGCTTCAATGAAAAACTTGTTAGAACTATTACTTGATGAGCTTGGAAGTAGGGTTGAAGTGGTCAAGCTAAAGTGACAAGGGGAGCGCAAGTTTATCGCGTTGAGCATTGCCTTGTGCTTGGCGACCGTCGTATTCTTTGACAAGTGCTGAACTTACTGTGGTATCAGATGTGGCTAGGTAAAAGTAAAGCTCATCGCTAAGGTCGGGTTTAGATAGGAGGGATGCCATTGCAAGATATTATTTCAGTTTGGTGAAGGCATTCTCATAGTCATTTGTCCACTCATACTGTGCCATTTCTCAAGATCTTGAAGAATGGAAGGAACTTATGGGTGGCCCGAGACATGAAACAGTCTATGGCAGCTATCTTTCCGTTAAGGCTTTATAGCTGTTTCAGGTTCTTAGGCGATTCCATTTTAAGGACCACTCAAATTCTTTTGGGGTTCGCTTCTTTTCCTCATTGGGGGACCATGAAGCTGAGGAACTTTCTAGAGGTAATGTTGAAGGCGCAGTTGCTAGGATTCAACTTCACGTTACACCTCTTTAGTATACTGAATGCTTTGCTGAGATATGCTTCATATTGGTTGGCTTCCCTACTTTTCACGAGTATGTCGTCCATGTATACTTCTATTTTCTGACCTAATCTACTTCGCGAGTATCTTGTTCACCATCTTTTGGTAGGTGGCTCATGCATTTTTCAAGTCAAAGGGTGTCACCCAATAGTAGTAGAGTCCTCGATCGGTTACGAAGGAAGTGTGATATTGATCTAGGACATTCAACCTGATTTAGATATAATTAGCATCCATGAATGTGAGCATTTCGTGGCTAGTGATCACGTCAACGAGCTGGTCTATCAGGGGGAGGAGAAAGTTGTCCTTAGTGATGGCCTTGTTTAGGTTTATGAAGTCGATGCATTCCTTTTATTTTTCATTGACATTTTTAACAAGAACAACGTTGGAAAGCCATTACGGGTAGTGTACTTCGCATATGAAGTCCGCCTGAAATAGATGCCCAACCTCCACCGCAATGGTTGTGCTGCATGTGGTGTCTACGAGCATCGCTTCTACTGCACGAACTTGTGCTCAGGTCAATATTGAGTTGGTGTACCATAAAATTAGGGTCGATTCCCGACATGTCTTCAAGTTACCACGCAAAGTCATCCGCATTGTTTTTCAAAAAGTTTTTTAGGATTTCCCTGTAGTCAAACCCCATCTTTGTCTTGATGCTGACTTTTCGATATTTAGTAAGGAGGGGGACAAGCTCTAGTTCTTCAGGGGGAGCCTCTTTGATCCTCACCCTTCTTGTTTTGGGGATCTTCTAGGGGAGCTCCTCTGTTAGTGCGTTTGTTTGTGAAACCACTCCCTCGACAGAATGGGTAGCCTTTCATACTGTCATTCAAGATTGCAAGTAATGGAAGGGTAGAGTTAATTGGCTATCAACTCATTCCCCACATTTGGATGAATGGTTGATCGTGATTTCCAGGTTGGTGCTACATAAGAGCCTCAAAATTGTCACATACGTCTTCATCTCCTAGCTCAAGGTGCACCTACACATAGAAATCTAGCACATGTCCGGTGCTCTGTCGAATGAACTCTGTTGCATAAGTTTGAACTTAATATGGGAGCAAATAATACAAAAGCAAAAATCTTGGTGAAAGTCTACTGGAGAGTGTGTGCTGAATTTACTTAAGGAATAGTATAAGAGTTTCAACTTACCTTCTCTAGGGTATTCCTGGAGCTTTTGTACATAGAAAAAGGGCAAGACATAGAAGGTGGAGTTCTACCGCCAAGGTGTTGTGGGGACCACTGACATTCTCCTTCCCTCTTTGCACTGCTAGAGGGGACGCAACGGCATCTTGGATGATCCTTTGTAGCGTATCGCTATTTGGGTACAAAGTGTCAGCGTCCTAGCCACTGGCTGTCTCTTGTACGGGTAACCCAAGTGCCCTTAGATTTTAGGCTCATTGGGCTCGAGTTCCGGCTCGATGCGCTTACTTCTCCTTAACCTCATCTACGTCGCTTGATTGGAGCTTTGCGCATGTTGCCTTATATTTACCCGATAGCATGTATGACACAACCTGTCCCAAAAAACCTACTAGTCCTAGAACGAGTCGCACCGACCACAGATTCCGACTAACTACGAAGTCAATGGTCAACTTCTTCTTATCTTTGACCTGAACTTTGACTAACAAACTCTGAATGGATGCATGATAAAAAATATAATAATCTTAATAGAACAACAATTCTTACATCCATTCTACACATTCTGTTTTATCAAAAGGGTGCTAACAGTTTTACAACAACTACATGTACGTATAAAGTGAAATGCAAATCCCCAACTACTCTGGGTGGCAGAAGCTGAACTAAATTCTCCTTGAAACTCAGAAACACAGATACTCAGGTATAGCCTCGGGAGTGGGGGGGCGGTGGAAACAAAACATAAATAGTGAGTTGGGAAGCATAGTGAATGGTAAGTTAATAAGAAAATAACTTCGTCAACCTTCTTTCATAAACAACTGAAATTCAGTTCTCAAAGCAAACTTCATAAAACTGAACTAACAAACATTCTCATTTAAATTCCATAAAACTCGAGTAAAACTAAAGCAACATTATACATTTCATAAAACTCAGTAAACTTTCTGAAGATCAAACTTGTAACAACACTTTTCTTCCTATGCAAACTGAA